GGGAAGAACAAACAAAACCATCCTGCTTCTCTAGAGCAGAGGTTGCAAGCCGCTGACCCACAGGCTGCAAAGAGGCGGTGACTGGCTTTTCAGATGGTCTGTGTTCAGCAGCTTTGGTGCACTGCTCAGCGCTCCAGAATGCGACACTGCAGAGCAGCCAGTTGCCAGACTCGAGCTGGAACCCAGTTTATTTAAAGTCCAGACCCTTTCCCCTGCAGCCAGAGTCACAGTCATCTCTGAGTGACTCTGTGGGCCATATTCGGCTATCTGTTTTTAAATTCCAGCCTCATAAGACATCTCTAAACTTTCTTCTCTAAGTTCTCCATTTTCCTTCCACTTCCATTTCTCTCCCTCTCTTCATTTCTTTTGTCTTACTTTCTCTCCTTTTTTTTTTTTCCTGGTCACCTATGCTGAGTTTAATGTGCCTATATCTCATAGGTACTAAGTAATTATTCATTATTTAAAAGTTGAAGTGAGAAAAATATACTGACTCTGAAACCATGCCCCATAGGGTTAACAGAAACCGGTGACTAATAGAAATTCCTGTTGTTGCTGTTCTGTGCTAAGTCATGTCCAACTCTTTGTGACCCCATGGACTGCAGCATGCCAGGCTTCCCTGTCCTTCACTGTCTCCCAGAGTTTGCTCAGATTCATGTCCATTGAGTTGGTGATGCCATCCAACCATCTCATCCTCTGTCGTCCCCTTCTCCTCCTGCCCTCAATCTTTCCGAGCATCAGCGTCTTTTCCAATGAACTGGCTCTTAGCATCAGCTGGCCAAAATATTGGAACTTCAGCTTCAGCATCAGCCTTCCAGTGAGTATTCAGGGTTGATTTCCTTTAGGATTAACCTGTTTGATCTCTTTTCAGTCCAAGCGACTCTCACGAATTTTCTCCAACACCACAGCACAAAAGCAACAGTTCTTCAGTGCTCAGCCTTTATGGTCCAACTCACACATCTACACATGACTAGTCGAAAAACCATAAGTTTGATTATTTGGACCTTTGTCAGTAAAGTCTCTGGTTTTTAATATGCTGTCTACATTTGTCATAGCTTTCCGTCCAAGGAGCAAGTGTCTTTTAATTTCAAGGCTGCAGTCACCATCTATAGTGATTTCAGAGTCCAAGAAAATAAAGTCTGTCACTGTTTCCATTGTTTCCCCATCTATTTGCCATGAAGTGATGGGACTGGATGCCATGATCTTAGCTTTTTGAATGCTGAGTTTTAAGCCAGCTTTTTCACTCTCCTCTTTCACTTTCATCAAGAGGCTCTTTAGTTCCTCTTCACTTTCTGCCATAAGGGTGGTGTCATCTGCATATCTGAGGTTATTGATATTTCCCCCAGCAAACTTGATTCCAGCTTGTGATTCATCCAGCCCAGCATTTCACATGACGTACTCTGAATATAAGTTAAATAAGCAGGGCGACAATATACAGTCTTGACGTACTCCTTTCCCAATTTGGAATCAATCTGTTGTTCTATGTCCAGTTTGAACTATTGCTTCTTGACCTGCATACAGATTTCTCAGGAGGCAGGTCAGGTGGTCTGGTATTCCTATCTCTTTCAGAATTTTCCACGGTTTGTTGTGATCCACACAGTCAAAGAGATGCAGGTTCAATCCCTGGGTCAGGAAGGTCCCCTGGACAAGGACGTGGCACCCCACTCCAGCTGTGTTGCCTGGAGAATCCCACAGACAGAGTAGCCCAGCGGGCTACAGTCCATGGGGCTGGAAAGAGTTAGACACGACCGGAGCGACTTGGCACGGCACGGCACAGAGTCCAGGGGTCTGGGTCAGGAGCACTGCTGTGACAACGAAGAGAAGCCGGACTCTAGACCGGACCTACTCCTTTAGCACTGACCTTTGTGCTCTGTTGCCTGTGCTTAGTCATACTGGCTCAGCCCCTTTGTGAAAGCGTGTCACCTACAGCCTGAGATACACATAATGGTCCATTCTGCGCCCTGCCTCCCAGACTTGACCTGGAAAGAAGGTTTAACACTTTCCATTCATATAGAGATTAAAAGTTGCGGAACAGAGAATAGCATTTGTCTTGGAGGGTTGCAGGAACATTGTAACGAGACACACATGGACAGCAGCAAGAACAAAGGATGATCACAGTGCCCCTCTAAAATCTGGCCAGTGCTAAGTGCAGTGGCCAGCCATGGCCCCCTCCTCCTTTCTTATCCAAGAAGGCTGATTTCTAACTCAGGCAAGATGGTTCTTTGGGACACTAGTTGACTATCTTCTGAGCCCACTGGTCTGAATAAGGTTCTTAACCCTGGCCCCGACACTGTGTGCCTCGATTCATTGGCCTGTCCGGCAGCAGGCAGAACAAGCCTGGAGTCTGGACCCAACACTACTATCAAGGAAGAGCCAATATGGCCATCCAGAAGGCAAGACTTGAACAAACTCGAAAAACAATGAAAGCTGCTCAGCTGGAAATGACCAAGGACTTAAAAGAAAGAGGTCATGGCTTACTCTGTCTTTTCCTACTATGACTGTACACATCGTCACCTTATTTGACTGTCATCCCAACCTTCATCCCTTGTTTATGTGAAGGAAAGACTGGGGCTCACGTTTGTGTCTTGAGCCTGGGACTAGGTATCCAGCATATGTGCCCAGCAAATACAGGAGCACCAGGAAGCACAAAGAAAGAACAAGCAACTTCTTCTGCTTCAAGAGGCCTTACAAACTTTTTAAAGAGGCAATATCAAAACATATGAAATTCAATTGCATAAAAAAAAAGTATGATTTTGTGAAAAGAAAAAGATCACTGTCAGATAGTCTGGCCAAACAGATTTTTAACGACCAGGGAATTTTCGCAGAAACTAATGCTTGTGGCTCGCAATTTATTGTGTAAGTGAATATTGAAATACCTGAGTTTGAGTAAATAGCAACAACTTTTTTGGCGGGTTATTACATTCAATAGTTACACCTGACACACCCATAAAGTCTTCTAACTTTTTTGAAATCTTGTCTTCACTCTGCTCTTCTTCAGAAGCAAAGGAGCATTCTCCAGCACTGTGAGTTTTATTTTCACTTTCCATATCAGAGTCAATTACTAAGATTTTTTTTTTGTCTTTTTGTTGGTCTAATATTCACATCATCTGATTCAGAACTATATTCTGAAGAACTATCAACTTCTGAGACACTAGTACACATGTTGCTCAAACAATCACAGAAAGTATCTACCTAAAATTCACTGAAAAATTCTTCACTCAAAATTTCGTGATGCATCATTTTTGAAAATTTTACAATAATAAACTTGAATTTATACTATACACAAGGTTGGAACAAAAACTTAATAGAGGAAAATGTGAATGATAATGAGAATCCTAAATAGTATAATGAACGCTTGATCAATTTTAAACGGCTTCACACAATAATGCTAACTGTACCTTTCTAAAAGTGTATCATGACATCTCCGGTCAACATGGGTAATATGTCTCTTCAGAGAGTCGCACTGAAACATACACATTACCGTATGTAAAGGAGATAGCCAGTGGGAAGTTGCTCTATAAGCCAGGAAGCTCAGTGCGGGGCTCTGAGACAACCTGGACAGCTGTGAGGTGGTGGGGACCGGGAGGGGACGGGTGTCTACCTTTGGCTGATTCACGTTGCTGTGTGGCAGAAGCCAACTCAATATGTAAAGCAATCATCCTACAATTAAAAATAAATCTCAAATAAAAGAAATGACAGAAGAGAAAATGATGAGCAAGTGATGGGATCAAAATAAAAAGGAATTTCAAATGTAAAAAATAAAATAACATATTCAGGCCTTGGAAACTGAACAAGGGAGAAAGCACAGGTTGTCTGGCTGTGAGCCCATTGGGCCTGCATGGCTTCAGGTAAAGGCCCTTGAAACAGGTGACAGGACGGCATCTACCGTATCAACTGTGGTCGTCATCTTATCCACCCATCCATCCAGCCTTTCTTCACAGACATTCCAGTACTGGTCCTTATTCTAAGCACGGTGATGAGAGAGCAGGCTGATTGTGTGGGCGGAGACGGGCCCAGGTTCCATCACTGGAATCCGATAGGAAGTGGATGACTGAGTACCGATTAGCATTTCACAGGGGGCACAGCCCTCTCTCAACGCCCTCTTTCTTTCCCTTTGAGCCTCCTGTCCTTCAGATGGTTCCCTACCTCTGATTTGGGGAATATTTTTTCTAAGAAGGACTATTTCTGGCTCCACAACCCAGCACATTCTTGCCATAAGCCTTGTCACTGCCTCAGTCTCCTCTCAGTTCCTTATGCTTTAGATCCAAGACTTCAGCCGCGGTGAGAAAAGCTTAGACATCAGACCCCGCCCGGCCTTCTCCTGGGGAGGAGCTGGCACTTGGGCGACGGTAGGTAAGGAGCCTTACTGCAGGAGAGCCACCGTGAGGCGGGAGGTGCAGGCGGGGAAGGCCCCGTGCTCTCCCTGGACGACTCCACCCCAGGACGGCAGCCAGGATGGGTCAGGAGAAGATCAGGAGGAAGGGGAGGGATAGGGAGAGGATCAGGAGGAAGGAGAGGGTTAGGGAGAGGATCAGGAGGAAGGGGAGGGTTAGGGAGAGGATCAGGAGGAAGGAGAGGGTTAGGGTGAGGATCAGGAGGGAGGGGAGGGTTAGGGTGAGGATCAGGAGGGAGGGGAGGGTTAGGGAGAAGATCAGGAGGGAGGGTTAGGGTTAGGGAGAGGATCAGGAGGAAGGGGAGAGCCGCAGCGGCCACGCCCGCCGACACACAGTGCGTGGCCTGGAGCCCGCGGGTGTCCACGCAGGCCGGGCGCTTGACAGCAGGCGTGTCACAGAAGTGATAGATTTCATTGTGGCCACAGAATGGAAGGAGGCAGGTCAAGGTGGTCAAAGGCAACGCCAGCAGGAACCCCAGCCCTAGAGAACCCAAAGTCATCTGCCCGCAGAGCTGCCGACTCAGCACGAGGCAGTAACACGGGGGTGACACGTGGCCACGTGCCTGTCCTAAGCCCCGGCAGCCAGCAAGACACAGTCAGACCCCCGAGGATGAAGAAGCACATCTGGGATCCGCAGCCAGGGAGAGAGACGGGCATCCTCCCCGTGGGAAGGGTGCTGGCCAGGGTTGGGGGGGGCAACGCTGGTGGAGTGGGCGATCTCCAGCAAGGCCAGGTCGGGGAGGAAGAAGCATATCGGGGTATGCAGGGAGGGGTCTACCAGACTCTGAGCCCGATGGCCACGCGTCCAGCGAGGCTTCCTAAGTACAACGGCAAGAAGGCCGCGAGATGGAAGCCCCCGCCGGGTCTGTTGAGAAGGGGCCGGAGGGGAAGTGGACCATTCCCGCCTGTGCTCCTCCGGTAGCCCCGCGATGGGGAAGGAAGTCATGGGCAAAGGGACCCTCCCGTGTCCTTGGGCCTGGCGCAGGCCCAGCCCTGCTGGAAACAGTCTGCAGTCACCGAGTCGTTGCCCTTCCTGCTTCCTCTGGAGTTTGGTTAACGTGATCTTGCCTCCCCTACCATTCAATCTGCTAGCTGCGTGACCCTGGAGAAGTTACACGTGCCAGCCTTCTCCGTTTACACTAGGGACCACCTTGGAGCGGTGGTGTCTGAAAGTGTCATGCCCCACGCCAGCCATGGGGCTCTCATCGAGGTTTCCCTTCAATTCCAGGTTTTCCCTTGACCCCTGTTCCTCCTTTTTCTTTCTTAAAGCAAACCTTCCTGACCACTCTCATGCCTCTCCATTACTCTGATGGTCCAATCATTCCCAGGACACCTTAAAAGTACATATTCATACAAAGAGCATGTCATCCTCATAGCAAGCCTAGAAGGCCAGCGACACAGGTGTTTCTGTTACCTGTTTGACAGAGGTGGGAGCTGGAAGCCAGAAATGTTAAACAGCCCACACTGCTGTCTTCCCCATTCCCCAAATTCACAGTTTTGGTATTATGGGTTTTTTTTCCTTTAAACTTTCAACAATCCAGTTTTGTTTTGTTTTATTTCATCAAATACTAACCCTACTCTTGTTTCACCTTCTTTTCCATATCCACCTTCGTTTGCATTATTATTGAGTCCAACTTAAATAGGGTTTTCACCCCTATATGTATGGCTTACATTCCACCAACCCAACTTAGCATAATTTTAGATTAAGTTCTCCTAAACACTTTTTAAGACATGTTCCTTTACTCTGATCCTAAGCTTAAAAAGCAAAGGAACCTCGGGAATCCCCTGGCAGTCCAGAGGTTAAGACTCTGTGCTTCCACTGCAGGGGGCATGGGTTTGACCCCTGATGGCAGTGCTATGGTCTCATATGCTTCAGTGCTGTAGCTAAAAAAAAAAAAAAAAGGAAAGAATTTCTTATTCTTTTGATATCACATGCAATTATCACAAAATACTTTTATAAGTGAAATGAGCACAACTTACCTGGGGTATAATGTCAGGAAACTCCTCAATGACCAGATCCACAGGCGCATCCTACCCACCACACCTTTGTTTTAAGCCATCCAGTCCTTATGCACATGACTCTTAAATTTTGTTGAGTTTTAATTTGCTGCAAAATTGATTTGCATGTGCACACAAATATTGTGTTTATGGATCACCTTTTCAGTGTTATTCAAATGGCCAGGGGTAGTAGTTCTAAATGGAGAAGTCTTTGCATTGATCTTCTTGGGGGATTCTCAGAGAGGCCAGGCCATGACCAAAAACACTTTCCTGATAAATAGACGGGGTGGGACCAAAGTATACACAAATTAAACACTCAGCCACCGTTATATTTTGGTGTAACAAGTGAACCAAGTTTTCACATTGTGTTTTCTTTTGCTTTAGTTGTTAACATGATCCCCAACAGAGACAAAGTCTTGAAGAAATGAGTATTAGGAAGCTCACTGATGGAGGGGTAAAAGGCTCAACACTTTAGGGATATAATATTCCATAGTTTTCAAACTGAGTAATGTATGCATAAGTATTCACATACTATCCTCTTAATTTGTGTAGGTCTTGAATTTTCCAAACGAAAATTAGCATTTGACTTTAGTCATCATGCTTTGGAGCTCAAAATTAGAAATTAATCTTAAATGAGAATGATATGACAACAGAAACAGAAACCTTTATATTCGGGGTAAGAATCACAACATAATTTTAGTAGGGAATAATGAAACCAACCTAATATGGAAAGCTAGATTCAGTTGGTGAAATACTACGCAATTGTTTAAAATTATATTTATAAATACAAGGCAATAACATGAAAATAGTTGTGATATAATACTAAACAGAAAATGAGATTTAAAGAATTACAATCACCACACTGTAGAAAAAATACACACTTTGAGTGATGAGCGTGAGAAGTGTTTTTCCTGTTCTGTATGTTCTAATATTCTTCTTTTTTTTCTTTTTTTTTTTTAATTATGACATATTTATTTCCAACAAACATACACGTTTAACAAAGGGAAGAAGGAGAAAGAGGAAATAGTTATTACATATAAATAAATACATGTGTAACAAGAAAATGTGCAAACCTACTACATATGCTGAAGTACTTAGGGGTAAAATTAATTATTGTCGTTTTTTTTAATGTTAAGCATTTTGAATTTTATTTTATTTTACTTTATTTTTTTATATTGTAGTGGTTTCTGCCATACATTGACATGAATCAGCCTCTAATATTCTTTAATAAACGTCAACATCCTGAGCATGCTACTTAATTGCAAACTTTAACATAGCAAAGGGAGTAACAAGCAGTGTTGCCCTCAAACTGTGGAGTACAGTATTTTGGAAAATTTCAAAGCAAGTATGAATGGACAGTTAGTCCTTCCTTCAGATAACTTATCATCAATCACCCTGGAACGGAATTGAAGGAAGTTTGCTTTCCCAGCCAGCCTGCCTTCCCAAAATGCCCACTGCAGACCAATCTCTGTGAATCAACTCCTTTATGGACTCATCTGAAAACAAAGCCATCCTGGCTAGAAGCACCAGGCCCCTGAGAGGAAAATGCTGATTCGGAAGCTTGAAATTGGCTCTTTCACACTGGATACATAGTCAACACATTCCTTTCATTCTACACTGTTTACCCTTGACTTACTTGTGGATAGGTCTGTCTCCCTGGCGCACAATACACTGCTAGTGTCTTTGAGGCAGCTTCTGTATTTTGTTCGCCTTTACACACATATTCACACATGATTTGCATATAGCAAATGCAACTCTGGGCTTTTTTTGCAACTCAATTTTTTAAAGCTAATTCAGCCAAAGCAACAAAGCCAAGTATCTTGAGTAGCAGGGAAAACTGGAAAATAAAATAAAATAAAACTAAAATACTAGGTAATGTGTATGAAGTGTTGTTGGGTTCTCACTGCTTTAAAAATAATAGTAACTAACATTTACTTGGTGTCAGGGACTATTCCAAGCACTATATGCTGATTAATGAGTTTATTCCTGATAATAATCTTATGAGGTAGGAACCATTATTGTCTTCATTTTACAGATGAGAAAACCGAAGCAGACTCCAATGTGGCAGAAAAACTGCCGGTTGCACACACTTAACTTCTGCTCCATGTCGGCTTGCGGAACACGTCCTCATGTTTGTTTCCTTTGCAGATTTTTTTGGATTTGGGGGAGAATACTGATTTGCTACATTCCATCTATAGAAGACAGTGCATTATCTCCTATTTGGAAAACTTTTCTTAAAAAATTGAAGCTTTTTCGGGAAAGATTCCCGTTCTGCGTGTGCTTGGCGTTCCAAACAACTTGATTCGGGGAGAGAAGAGGAAGCTCACCCACCCTCTGCGGTTCACACGATGTTTTATGTGCTTAGTCGCGCTGTCTCCCGCAGATGGAAAGTAGCAGATCGTTACTGCGGTTAGCACAGTGCTTTGGGAGCCTTCACTTGACTTGGTAAAGGAACACACCACTTCTAGAAGGTCCACCTGGACAATCTGAAAATACTGTTTGGGCGCAGCATTTAACCCCGGAACTGTACCTAAAACCCAGCAGAGTGATAGAATGTTCTGTTGCCCAGGTGCCTACTGAAATTTCATTTTAGCTTTATGTATTTGCTTGCTCGCTTCTGTATTCACTTCTGGCTGTGCCGGGTCTCGGCTGCTCCGCGCGCTCCTCCCGCGTTCGGAGGCCCGGCCGTCTCCGGTCCTGCAGCCGCGGCTCCAGGGCGTCGGGCTTCAGCAGCTGCCGCACCCGGGCTCCAGACCCAGCCTGGATAGCTGCGGCCCACGGCCTTAGCTGCTCCGCAGCAGGTGAGATCTCCTCGGACCAGGGAGCGAACCCACGTCTCCCGCATTGGCAGACAGATTCTTTACCACTGGACCACCAGGGAAAGGTATAAGGAATTCCAGAGGGCACTTAAGGGTGGACGTGCCTGTTACCACAGCACAGGGGATCTGGGCGGCCCAGAGACCCCTTCAGGCTTCCTATGAGATGCGAATCTGTCATGGTGATGCTAAGACGCTGGCCTGGCCACCATTCTCAAGTCAGCAGTGGATTTTCTAACGCATGGAAAACAGACACTCACGAGAGTCTAGGTGTCTTAATAAAGAAATCCATGTCTGTTTCTAATTATTCATGAACTATAATAAAGATGACTACATACAAAAAAATAGGCACTTAATATTTCTACTGCTGGGAATTAATTCTAAAGAAGCAAGTCAAAGGAACGGAGGAGATCTTCATATAAAGCTATTTTTAGTACTAGTATTTCTGTACCTAAAAGAAAGAAGCAAATCGTGCCACCCACAGGGAACAAATCCTCTAATTGTTCAAGAATCGTTAAATAACGTGGTATATGAACTCAGTGACTTAAAACGCCTTCACTAGGAAAAGAATCGAGAAGAGATGAAAGGTGGAAAGTGTGAGTAGAGAGAAGTCAGCTTAAAAATAAGCAAAGAAAGGCTTCCCTGGCGGTCCAGTGGTTAAGAGTCTTCCTGCTAATCCAGGGGACACGGGTTCTATACCTGGTCCAGGAAGATCCCACGTTTCACGGGGCAGCTAAGCCTGTGCACCCCCACTACTGGGCCGGGGCTCTCGGGCCCACGAGCTGCAGCTGCTGAAGCTCGCACGCTTCAGAGCCCATGGTGCACAAGAGGAGCCACCGCGATGCGAAGGCCTGCACCAGAGCGAGAGAGTGGCCCCCGCTCACCGCAACTAGAGGAGGCCCGAGCGCACCGCTGAAGACCCAGTGTGGCCACAAAATTTAATAAATAATTTTTTAAATAAAATAATAAAAAAATAAGCCAAGAAAGCTAAACCCTCCACCCAGCACACACACAGCAGCGTGAAACATCTTCGTAGCCGGACCAAAGCCTTCAGAGCCCATTTGTGTCATTGTTAGTTGCTCAGTCGTGTCTCCTTGCGACCCCTTGG